CACACACACACACACACACATACACACACACACACATACCCGCTCCTCTCTCTCTCTCTCTCTCTCTCTCTCTCTCTCTCTCTTTTCCAAACAGAATCCAAAAAACATAAAATTTCAGCGACAAACAGAATCCAAATAACATAACATTTCAGCCACAAACGAGCAGTCAGCAGCATTGATTGAGCGGGACCTCAGAATTGCAACAACAACAGATCGACAACGTCAACGCGCAACAAAAAAGTCCGGTTGATGTTCCCCCCTAGTAGCCCGTACTACGCATACATTACGTAGCGAGAGGATGAGTGAGATAGATAAGGAAAAAACTACATACATTGAGAGAGAAGAATACAGATCTAGAAGAAGAAAAAAGAGACGTTCCCTGACTGATGATCCTACGACGATGTCAAGATCCATATGTCATGTCAAATCAGACCGTTAACGAGACTACACCATCGGGCGGACAAACGCAACGCAACGCAACGGTTTGGCACCGTCATATTTCCTATCTCGGCGTATTACACGACAACACACGCACACACCTAAAACCGAGGGAGACACCACCTATCCTAGGGAATACCCTGGCCAACGTGGCCAGTCCTTATCCATTAGTCAAATGCACGCTAGGCGGACCATCGGCACTTTCGGGATTCAACCTCCTGAGAGCCCGTCGGTAAAACGCATCGTCCTGACGCGCCCACATGGCCCCTGCAAAAGAGAGAGAGAGAGAGAGAGAGAGAGAGAGAGAGAGAGAGAGAGAGAGAGGATTTGGAGTAGAGAAGCTCCACCTCTGAAACTGCCTGACAGTGATGGTCAGGGATGCAAAGTCAAACTGGTCGGCAGCAGTCAAATGCAGAATGAAACCCTGACGACTGCACCGCCTGTGTCGATCGATGAAGGCAGTAGGGACCCCACAACACCGGACACCCGTTCGGTCACAGACTCGTGAACGTGGAAGCTGTGTGAGTAGAGGGACTCAACTGCGAGAAGACGCCCGTCTCGGTTCAAGTAGAACGGAGGCGCACATCGCAGTTGATCATGGAGCGTATGGAGAGTGCGGTTATAGAGCAGCGATTGCGCTGTTGCCCTGCGTGGTACCCTGCGCGGCGCCCTCGCCCACCTCTCGTCAGTGGCCCTCGCTGCACCACACACCACACGCTACATGCATTTGGACGCTTTCTTCGCGGGATACGCTCATGGTGTTGGACTCGTCCAAATGCAACTGGTCCGGAAAGCCTCCAAATGTATGTGCAGTTTTGTGTAATGGAGCGACGCCAGTTTCTCGCAGAGAAGCTGTGGTTGAGAGGCGATAGCTGGCACGTAGCCATGCAGGAAGGCGACTCTCTTTTTGCTTTTTGCTTTTTGTTTTTTGTTTTTTGTTTTTTTGCTTTTTGTTTTTTGTTTTTGTCTTTCCGGCAACCAGATGAGCCAACGTACATTATGCCAGTGCCTGCTCATCTGGTTGCCCCCAAGGCTAACGGGGCGGATTCAGTTTTGTGGTTATCCCCCGTCGACATCAACAAAACCAAAGAAACGACAGTTGGACCGGGACTGGGAAATTTCCAGTTGGGACTCTCGCTCTCGACTTCACAGATCTACTCAATCTACGGACTGCAGAATTGACAGTTCCCTCAACCTACACCATCCACGGCCTTCACCGAAGATCTACGGGCGCCAGTGCGGAGGTGAGAAGACTTACCCTGGTTGGCGTATGGCCTCGCTGGCCCGTCCGGTCCCACTGCGCTGCCCTGCGACAGTATAAGTCACAGGCGACGGCCCAGCCAAGACAGCTTGTGAGCCCTCCCGTGCCGCGCCTTCCAGCCCCCGGCTGCTCGCTGCGTTCATCGCAAACGTGAACCTGCGCGCACATCACACAGGGGGTCAGGTCCTCAGAGGTCGAGTCTTTTCCCTCGCCTTGTTTTGGCAAGAGGACTCTCCAGTCGCAGTCCTACGAGTTGTCGGTAAAGGAGGTCGTCAGTCAAGGTCTCCCAGTCAGCCTCGCCAGTCAGTCAGTCGAAGTCAGCGCCCACCACGGTCAGTCCCTCATAGTCAGTCTGTCGCCGCGGTAAGTCTTCGCGTCGTCACACTCACCTCACCATGAACCTGTCTGTCTGCAGAACTGGCGACCACCCAGCCCCCGTACCCAATCCCTCGCAGGACCCATGCTCTAACCCTCGCCATCACTCAACCAATCTCCCGTCGTCATCCTCCTCCTTCCACTCCCCACCTCCTGCCACCCAACCTACCTTCGATCCCTTTCTCCTTAACTTCTTCCCCTCCAACCTCACCCTCCAATCGCAGGACCCAATCCCCGACGAAGAACTCATCAAACTTTTCTCCTTCCTCATCACACCACTCCGCTCCTCGTTGACATTACCCCCCACTTACGCTGACGAAAGCATTCAGAGAATCCTCGTCTTAGATCCTCTGTCAGCCTTACTCCTTCCACTTCACACCTTCGCACTCCCCTTCATCCTTCCCTCATCCATCACCACCGCTCAGTCTTCCTTCGTAGAGCAGAGATTCGGCTCGAAACTTGTCACTTCTGATTTACTTGAGTTCGTGGAGGAGGCAGCCTTCTGCACGTTTCAGAACGGTGTCCAATCATTCTTCATCCTCCAAAGAGAACGAGCCTCGGAACTCCTCTCCCAGTCCTTTTATTCAAACCTCCTTCTCTCTCTCATGTCCGCAGGAACTCACAGCGGAACTCACAGCCTTGCTTCGTTTACTCCTTTAGAGCGGGAGAAAGCAAGCGCTGAGCTGGCAGCATTTCAGGTGCAGCACCACCACGACCTGCAGATTCCATTTTACTGTTTCTCCATGTGCCTCGCCTCAGCGAAGACCGTAGCATCAAGGTTTTGGGTCAACGGCGGCCTCCTCAGTCTGTCCGAGAATCTTCCATCTCTCGGAAACTTGCCAGGCTTCATCTCACCCTTGGCCTTCTTCTTCAAGGGGTTCTTCAAGCAGCTAGTCAAGGGGGACATTTCCCATCTCCTCCTCCATAAGCTCGTACAGACAGGATCAGGACCTTGGTTTCGACTCCTCAACGACCAAGCTTGCGGATCGACCGTGGAGTACCAGGACGCACCGGTGTTTCCTCTCGAAGCCTCCTACCCCTCGCAACCCTCGCTGCCGCGTCTCATCCTCAAGCGCCACGACGCCACACATACATTTTCTTTCATCGACCGAGAAGACGAGGATGCCGCAGAAGAAGAAGGTTGAGGAACCCCCCCTAGACGGCGAAGAGCTCACCGAAGATCTTCCGATTTCGCCTCCGAATCCGATTCCCCTTCCCCACCCCGACAGATCCCACTACAGCAACTTCTCCTAATTCCCCAACCCCAACAGCCACCGCGAATCCACACTCCCCCCACCACCACCCTAAACCCTCCCACCCCTAAGGCCCCCAGAAGACGACCGCGCATCTTTCGCGGATTATACTATTTTTTTCTCTTCTGCATCGTCTTACTCTTCTTGCTCGTCTGCTTCCTCTACCTCCTACTATTCCTCCGTCCCTCCTTACCCACCCCCTGTCTTCCTCATAACCCTTACAAACGCAATCTTTGACACATGAATCGATCCGCCCACTTAAGGGCATTTGTTAAGAGTTCTCCTCTCCTCAGAGATGCTGAGGACAAAGTTTTTATAATAATAATATTCATTTGAAGGTGTAATCGTTAAAGTGCTCAAAGCTTTATTATGGTTTTCTTCATCAGCATGTCACCCGTTTTGTTTCTCGCAAACTGTTTTTGACAGTAAAAAAAAAAAAAAAAAAAAAAGAGAAGAGCAAAAGAAGGAGACGAAGG